CACAATAAACTGACCAGTCAAGCAATTTTTTTTTTCTTTTTTTTTTTTTTTTTTGTTCCAGTTGTCTACAGTAGTGCTTTTCAACCCCTGTCCTCAAGACACACTGCCCTGCATGTTTTAGGCATGTCCCTGCTTCAGCACACATGATTTCAATTGATGGCTGATTAACAAGGTTTTGCTGAATTGCAATCATCTGAATGGGGTCCGGGGTTGGGAAACACTAATTTCACAGCAATTACACTCCTGCCACGTATGGGTGTATTTTTAAGCTAAGAAAAAGCAGCAAGTTCTAGTGGAAGGGCAAACCAATTGTCAACCAAGAACAGCACTAAATTAAAGCAATTAAGTAACATATGACAAATGACTTGTATTTACCTAAAATATGTGTGTGTAAAGTCTCTTTACTCATCCTGGTCCGTGGTAACATTAACACCTGCTTCTTCTTGATTCCTAATAGGACCATCTTCCGTTTGAAGTTTTTAAAGGAACAGTGTCTGCATTTAAATTTAATATCCTTTACTTCTGATTAAACAGTATAAAGCAGCCAAAAGGCACAGTTTGTTGTCTTTGAGGAATGACACTTTCTCCATGTAATGGGATAGGTGTTGAAAACATTTATAAGTTCACAAAATATTTTGTTTGCCTTGTGGAGAGTTTGTATCTTCATATGTTTATAAGAAAACGTGAACAGCTACTGCAGTTATTATGCACAGATATATACCTATAAATCATTTCAGAATGGTTAAAAATCTCCACACACAGGAAATCATAAAGTCTTGTGAGAAAAACCTTTTGGATGTCAATGAATGCACCATACAAGACCATGCACTTCTAATAGCTTCTTTTGAGTTTAATACAAACTAAAGTGAGGAACACAGTTTAACATGTATTCTAATTGAGACACAAAATTACGATGACGATCAGCGTACTTACAAGGCATGTCTTTCATTTCACGTAGATAAAAAAATAAAACAGAAGTCAAAATCAGACCTCAAACACAACCAGAAACTGGTATCATTTGGGAAAAACACTAATCAGTGCATCTCTATACAAGACGATAACGTAAAGTACATGACAGATATTTTTTTAGAGGAATGTATTAATTCATCTTATGTTTTTTTTTTATTCTCATATTCGTGTCATAAAAAAGTTAATTGCACCTATAAGTTTCTATAGCTTTCATTATATAACCTTTGATTACGAAGCAAAACGCTGTCATACTAATATCTGCCACACGGTGTCGCCTTGGATTCATCAAATCCTAAAGTGGACTGCACTGGACCTGCAGCTGGACATTTTGTTCCACGATCTGTCCTCAGCACCGAATACCAGACACTTATCTTTTTGTTCACAGTTTATCCCTTTAGATTGAGTTTCTTCATAAGAGGGGAGCTCACTCCTTGAGGAGAGATAATAGCTCAGGTGCTGCTATGGAGCCTTGAGGCTGTCCAATCAAGGAGCGGCTTGCCCTCCTCTCTCGCGCTCGCTCCGCCCAGTCGACCAATCAAAGAAGTGAGGCGTCCCAGTTCCTGCTCTTATAAAAGTAGCTCGATCTTTAGCAGCGGTACCGGAGAATGAGAGAGATACTAAAGAACCATCATCGAACCACACATTGGACCTGCAAGTCCTTTAGTTTTTATTTCAATTTTCTTGTTTCTCCAGGTATGTTTACACCTTTTTCTCTTATTCGGCAGTCTTGTTTAATTAGTCAGACTTGGGAAGTTAAAACTGCGGCAGACTCTTCATTGTTACATATTTTATTTCGGTAGTTTTTATTCAGCTTGTTGTTTTCTGTGCTGTAGCGGAGGTTATTGGGTCTGTTTCGGTGTTTTAGACTTCCACTGTATGTTTGTTTATGAGTATTTAAGGGAATGATGTAATCATGTCACCCTCTTGCAGTCAACAATAGTAACCATGATGGTAGCAACAAGATGCGTAACAGTACAGTTAAAATGGATTTTCTCCGAGTTGTCTTATTTGCGCTGTTCTCGTCTCCGTCCTAAATTTATTAGTCAGCATCCGTGTGAGAAAATAGCCCCTTTTGTTCACCACGCGGATAAAACTGGAAATGTTTTTTTTTTTTTTTCCTTCCACATCCTCAACATGTTTTTCAACCCCCCCCCCCCACCTCCCCTTCTAGAAAATCAAAATGACAATGATGCTGCTTTTTGCGATTTTGCGCCCCTCCTCCCGAAGCCCAGCTAGTTACGCAACATGTGATCCATCTCAGCCCATCTAACATATTTACTCTCTCCTCCTCGCACTCTCAGGTGTGTTATAGTATCAGTTAAGATGGCCACGTCCGCCAGCGCCAGCTTGAGTAAAACCATCAAGCAGCAGTACATGGAGCTCCCCCAGGGGGATAAAGTCCAGGCCATGTACATTTGGGTTGATGGAACAGGAGAGGGGCTCCGGTGCAAAACAAGAACTCTTGATTTTGAGCCCAAAAGTATTGAAGGCAAGTGTCGGTCTCATGAACCTATAGAAGCAGCTGTACACATTGAACCCAGTGACCCCAAGTGTAACAGTTGCTCTTATTTCTTCTTTTCTTGCAGATCTCCCTGAGTGGAACTTTGATGGCTCCAGTACCTACCAGGCAGAAGGCTCAAACAGCGACATGTATCTGATTCCTGCTGCCATGTTTCGCGATCCGTTCCGCAAAGATCCCAACAAGCTGGTCCTGTGTGAAGTCCAGAAGTACAACCGCAAACCTGCTGGTTAGTAAGCCAGTGTAATAATCATAAAGCTTTTTTTTTTTTTTTTTTTAACATTTAGAGGACCCAACATTAAGCAACTCAGTCTGTAAATGCTGTTTGAATTGTGTGAATATCAAAGTTGAATAATTTACTCAACCCAAATTTCCTTTCTGCAGAAACCAACCTTCGCATCACATGTAAGAAGGTGATGGAGATGGTGGCAGACCAGCATCCCTGGTTTGGCATGGAGCAGGAGTACACCATACTGGGCACAGATGGACATCCCTTCGGCTGGCCGTCCAACGGTTTTCCTGGACCACAAGGTGAGCAAGTTGTCTGCTTAGTTCTGTCTGCATGAAGGCAACATTGTATATCTTAACACTTTTTATCTTTGTAGGTCCATATTACTGTGGAGTTGGAGCTGACAAGGCCTATGGCAGAGATATTGTAGAGGCTCATTACAGAGCATGTTTGTATGCCGGAGTCAACATCTGTGGAACAAATGCAGAAGTGATGCCTGCCCAGGTATGAATATGAGCCCAATGTGTGCTTTGACGTTTGTCTTGGGTTTTCCCACTTGGTTATGGAATGATTGTTTGCTTGTGCGTTTCAGTGGGAGTTTCAGGTTGGACCATGTGAGGGGATTGACATGGGTGATCATCTGTGGGTGGCGCGCTTCATCTTGCACCGTGTCTGCGAAGACTTTGGTGTTGTGGCATCGTTCGACCCCAAGCCCATCCCAGGAAACTGGAACGGCGCAGGCTGCCATACAAACTTCAGCACAAAAGAAATGAGGGAAGACGGTGGGCTAAAGTGAGTTGCAAAGACGATTTGTACTTTTTATTTTTATTTTTTTTAAATTTAAAGAGTAGTTGTTTGCTATATCCGACACTCATGTTGCCGTTCTGCTTTCAGAGCTATTGAAGAGTCCATTGAGAAGCTCGGAAAGCGTCACGAGTACCACATACGTGCCTACGATCCTAAAGGGGGTCTCGACAACGCCCGCCGCCTCACTGGCCGCCACGAAACGTCAAACATTCATGAATTCTCCGCAGGCGTGGCCAACCGTGGCGCCAGCATTCGCATTCCCCGCAGCGTCGGCCAGGAGAAGAGGGGCTACTTCGAAGACCGACGCCCGTCAGCCAACTGTGATCCGTACGGCGTGACGGAGGCTCTGATCCGCACTTGTCTGCTGAATGAAGAGGGCGAGGAACCGACGGATTACTAAAACCTGCAACTCCCAGACTGACTTTTACCACCCTCCCAAATTTCTTTAAAATATTCTAGTACTGTTTTTTTTTTTTTTTTTTTTTCTCCTCTCTCCCACTAAGATGATTTTTAACTTACAATGCTAATGGTTTAAAGTTGGCTGGTCAACTTGAAACAAGGTAATGAGATACTTGGTAGTTGTGAGCTGGTGACGTCAGGGTACACCTCTCCTTGTGTCATTAAACAGGGATTGGCTTTTGTAACACTGTTCTTAGCCCATGCCATATCATTCCCTCTTTGTCTGTCTGAGACTAAAACAAACTAAAGCACAAGGACATTGCAGAGTAGGGCAGCTAAGGCTGGACAACTTGTGTAAAATTAAATGTGACTAGTTCTTGTGCTGTTAATGTGTTGACCTGACTATCCAGTCCTCAATGTTACTAATGTTCTCATTCTAGGAAGTATCTTTTTTTTTTTTTTTTTTTTTTTTTTTTTTAAATGATGTTTGATGTCCTCAAGTTCTGGCACATTTTGGTCAACTTGTATGGTACACTTGTAGATGTCCCAGACATGAGTTGTTATAAAGTGGTGGCTCTTTCCATAATGCCATTTGTAAAGTTTCCTCAAGGAGTTTTATCCTTTTGTTAACTGCGATATATTGTAATGCACCTGATTTGGTCAAACATCAAGTTTACTGAACCTGGTGATTTTTATTGATACATTTAAAACATTTATTTTATCACAAATGCGTGTGTTTGAGTCTTGTATTAAATTGTCTTATTTGGGATTTGCTCATGAGGATGGCAAGATTTAATGATGTGTTGCATAAATATGTTAAGTGAGACAAGATTAACTTTTTTTTTAAATGAGGATTTAGATTTTTTTTTTTTTTTTTTTAGCAAAGCTGACAGTGAAGCATCCATTCTGCTGGACATGACAGACAAAAGGAAAAGTGTGGTTTCAAGTAGCCATCTAGAGAGATACAGGCTGGTCTGCAGAATATCTGCTCCAATTTGCCAAAACACTTCAACCATCCCATGCTGCAGGATCATATAAGAAGCTAAACACAGAACAGCAAAATGAAATGCACCAAAGCATAAGTCCAGTTTAGCAGACTGTACCTCCCATATGCCAAAAACATTCTGTGGTCTCAGCTTGGCACATTTCTAACCAACCGTTCAACGCCTGCTTTGTTCTCACGGTTGTTTTTCTTCCGTCTCCCGTGGGTGGAAACTGGATAGTGAGGCACTCATAGTTATTAGGCTCTTTCAATGCAATGGCCTGAGGACAATATCCCTGTCGGTTCTCTGTCAAAACTCCTTTACACTGATCTTTATGGGTGGCTCTGACTTTGCCTGTGACCTGGTTTTAACCTTCAGTATTACAGATATCTGTATTTCTAACACGGGATTTCTTCAGGGGTTACAAAGACTAACCTAAATAAGTACCCGAGTACTCTGTGTCCTTGCATCCGTTAGCTGGTGTTGGACTTTGATGAGAACTTTTTTTTTTTTTTCAGACTTGCACGAGACATAAACGAGCATTTCTGCTGTGCTCTCCCTTCCAGGGGGAAGGGCCACTGGGTTTGTTTCTGAGACCTTTCACCTAGATCCCAGCTGCTTCACAACATAAAGTTGTTAGTCAGTGCACTGATTGGCTCTCACTGGAACAAACTAACCAATCTCAAAGTGAAGGGCTGGTTCCTGTGTGAGGAACGGCAGCTGGACAGAAAAAAAATGACTAAAAAAAGCTGTTCTCTAGCTTTTTTTTTTTTTGTTTTTTTTGTTGCTTTTTAAATCATAAACCTTGTTCTACCCTTCATCTGTTGTGTACGTGGCTTTGCTGAATTCCCAGACTATCTGCACACACATGTGCCTGAACAAACAGGCTTTACCCTGAGCACCAAGCTAACATGCCGTATTACAGTGCAGGTTCAAATTAGACGAGGTCAAAGTGGAGATTGTAAACTCACCCATGGAGGGGAAAAAAACAGCGAAATTAAATGTAGACTCTGACAAAGATTATACTCTAGGTGGCCACTTTATTAAGCACATCTTTCTAGCAACAGGTTGGACTCTCTTTTGCCTTCAATTCTTTGTAGTAAATATTTAAAACTGTGTCTGTAACATGTAAGCCCTTGTTGACATTATATCATCACCTAATTGCTTCAGATGATTTTAGCTGTGCATCCATAATGCATATTCTGCGTTCCACCATATCCCAGCGATGTAGTTGCTCCATCAGATGGAAATTTGGTGAGCATGGCCGCTGTGAGCGCATGTCAAGAAACCAGTCTGAGATGATTTGTGAGGTCATGCATTGTCCTGTTGGACGTAACCATCAGAAGGTGGGTACACTGTGGTCATAAAATGACCAAAGCGTTCAAACAATGGCCGACTGGTTCTAAGGAAACATGCTAAGATAACTTTTCCAAATTACTGAGCATCCACTGTCAGCCTGAACCATTGACACAAGGAAGGGTGGATCCTTGTTTTCATGTTGTTTACGTCAAAGACTCGTCAGACCAGACAGACAGGAGCAGCATCCGGTGTGTTTTTCTTCTGTTGTCTCCCATCTGCTTCAAAGTTCAATGTGTGTGTTCAGAGATGGACTTCCACTCCGTTGTGACAAGCAGTGTCTTGAGCTACTGTTTCTACAGTCTCCAACCTATTCACCTCTGATATTATCAAGACATTTTGTCTGCTGCTAACTGCCACTGTGGATATTTTGTATTTCTTACCAGATAAAGAGTTCTGGTAAGAACCTACATCTAGATGCTTGAATTCAAAGAAGTTGCTCCGTGTGCGTGGCAGAATTACCACTTATGATAAAAGCAAAGTGACCAGAGACTGTATGAACCAGAATCCAAGCCTTTAATCTAACCACTACAAGCCACTGTCAGGCCAGTTTTCCCAGTGTAACTTCCAGGGTAAAAGGTACAGAGGGACATAATGTCCACTTTTCTTAAGACATCGTGTCAGCTGTGCTCATGTTTTTTTGTGCCTGAAAGCATGAAATGTCAGCTTTCAAGTAACATCTCTTTTTCGAGATTCAAAACTGTTGCTCTTGGCTCTCTGTCGGCAGAACTGTCCCCCTTGTTTACCACTCGGGTGATGTAGCCGCCAACTCAGGATGTGGGGATCACCACCCTGTGACGATCTGTGAAAGCGGCTCGCTGACATTCAGTCACCAAGTAAAATCTTTCCGCTTCCTCGCTTTTGAAGCCGAAATAAGGGGGTTCTATTTGCATGCAGAATCCAAGCCTCCCTCTGCCTGGGAAGCTCAAACGAACTGGGGAGACACTGGACAAAGGATGGAGAGGGATGCTGCCCTGTTGCTATGCCAACCACCGGAATGTACAGGCTGGATCGTGGTTGAAAAAACCCCCCAAAAAAAACAAACATTGAGATTATGTAAGGAGGAAAAACATGAAATGGGGTCTAATAAGTGGAGCTGCACAATACACCTCTAGGTCATATACAGCTTCAAGATTCTAGTTAGTTTGCATCCATTCACACTACTGCATCAAACACCCATAATCTTTTAAAAATCCTGCACATAAATGAAACGATTTTGGGCAAAACAGAGAATATTGTATGCACAAAAATCTGATTAAATGAAGACTTTTTACATCGTAAGTGTTGTAATGTCCTTGCCAGTGTATGTCCACCAAAGCCTCTGCCTTGCCACTGCTGTGTTGTGTAACAAATCACACTGGTTCAAACCAGAAATGGGCTCTTCTCTGGAGCACACCGAGCAGAGGAGGAGGTCTGCACAATAAAGTCATGACTCGTAGAGCATGAGGGAGTGATGAAATTTGCAGAACAGCTTTGAAAGAAAAAAATCGTCCCCAGATTGTTTCATTGCGAAAATATACAATGTGGGGCTTTTTCATGGCTCACGTCTTAATGAAAAGCATAAAGAATCCTGATGTGGAGCAGGAAACAGGAAGGAGATGAGAGATACCTAAATTAGGGTTCAGATCTGTTTTATATAAAATAGAAAATGTTGAATTTATTTCATTGGAAAACAAATGTTTAGGCTGAATCTCTGATGGGACAAAAAAAACAAAAAAAACAAACTTATTCTCAAATGTATTTTCATCCCAAACTGAATCTATGCATACTTGCTCTTGCAATTTCTTGCAAAAACTTGTCTGTAAAAGCAGAAGCAAATTGTTTAAGACATACAATCTGTTTGAGTCACTAATATGAAGCAAGCAGATCTTGTAAGATAAGGGGATCCGGATTGGCTGAGTGGTAAAGCATGACAGAGCTGAAGATAAATGCTGTCTAGCGACTCATTCCCACCTGGGCTGTGATTGGTCCTTTGTTTTCCGTGGCATAGTGACACAGTTTTGAACGCACCGCTTGCAGCTCAGAAACAGTCTACCTTTGTTTCAGGATATGTAGAGACAAGGGGATCAGACATGTTATTTTTTAGTAAATAAGGTGAAACAGTGGTAAAGAGAAGAAGGAAATCTACTGTATTTAAAGGATTAAAAAAATAAAAACGGTGTTTACATATTCTGGCACAGTTTTCAATGACCAGCTTGGACTGCGGGGCCGAATTTAAACTCCTTACACTTGATAACCTTCGAATAACGCAATCAGCCAACCAAACATTTTTGTGCTTTTGTTTTTGCTTTGTTACTAAAACAAGTTATCCGTCGTCCGTGGAATCTGAAATTAACCTTGAGGACCTTTGACATTCTCTGTTCATTAATTGTTCCAGTCACAAACCCTTCTTTCCAGTACCACCACTGTTCGTGCTCTCAGGACTTGAATAGCGTGAATGACCAGATGCCAGTGCCTCCACAAGTCGTCCTCCCCTCCCCCGACAAAATCCTGCTGGTTCATCTTCAGGGGCCGTCCCTTCAATTAACACCACAAAGGATGACCACAAAGGATGACCCTCACTACAAGTCCAGTTTCTTGGTAATTTTCCATTTCATAAAAAGACACCTTCACTAAAAAAAAGTTGTGCAGAGATGTGAAGTGGAAGAAAACTGTTTCACACACACACACACACACACACACACACACACAC